AGACCGGCTCCTGCCGCCGTTCCTCCCTCACCATGACGGACTAAACCCTCAAACCATGAGCAACACAGACCCTTCCTCCTCTAAGGGGCTTATTTCAGGTACTGCTCACAGTAACAGAAAAAGTAAGTAATGGCTACAATGATCTGTACCCAGGTTTTATTCTATTTACTTGCACTGGTCATCTTTGGAAGATCCAGGTGGACACTTAATGTTTCAGCCATCTGGGAGCACATCTGGCCCTTGGCATCCTGTCCCTCAGGACCAGCTGTCTTCTGTCAGCCACACTGGCATGCACACACTGGCATGCTCAGCTAGGCAACCCGAGTACTATCAGTGGTGCTCCCTGGGACTCACTTTCCTCATATATAAGCGGAGGGGCTTTCCAATACTCCAGAAGATTCCTTTTGGTCTTCTGAACTCCTGACTCACATATTATGGGTAGAAGGAGAAACCTACTTATATCCCTCTTCATGATCCCTGCCCTACACACACACACACACACACACACACACACACACACACACACACATAGCCAAGCACATATAAACATGCACACACAAAACTAATGTATTTCCCAAACCCTGGCTTGTCTAGGAGAGAGGGGCGGAGGACAGAGCATCCTCAGCTACCTCTGTCCCCCTCAGGGCTCTCTATATGTGGTGTGTCCTCCCCGAATTCCATGTGCCCCAGGATGGTAGGCACCTTTTCTCCCCAGGTACCTCAGGCATGTCAGCCTAGCACTGGCATGTGTCTCTACCATCAAGAAGGGCCAAGCTGAACTCCATTTGTGGTGGCTTAAAGTCCACCAATGACTTCCCGTCAGTGTCTGGTCATGGGAATGGGAATGACATTGTCAGTCACACTGAAAACAGGCCGGACCTGGTGATGGTGGCTTTTCCTCTCGCCTTCCATGCAGACCCCAGGCCCCTCACGTCGTGCCTATCAGATTTCAAAAGGGAAGGAAAACTGCCCGACTGGTGCCATCAAAGCTGTCAGGCACTGCTCCCCATGCCAGGCTGTGTGGATTTGATGCCCCAGCTGCCTTCCTGCCAATCACACCTCATTCTCCTGCCGAGGCCACACCTTCGACACTTCAGTATTTACCTGACAGCGTAGGGTGTTTCCGGGCTCTACTTCTCAGGCTGAAGAGGCCTGGAAGAAAGCAGGGCTATGTCATCTTGGGACACCAGGCCCCAAATGGCAAAGTGTGAGAACAAGGGGTCCTTGCGGTCCAGACAGGCGCTGAGGGATGGCTCCTCTGCCCGCCTCATAGGGTTGGGGATGGAGAAGGAGCCTTCATCGGCTTCCGCGCCGTATCTGTTAGCAGAAACATCATTCCATCTCTGAGCTCCTGACAGTCATGAAGCATTGCCTTTACACAACGGAGCTGTCACTGCAATGTCACCCTCTCTGATTCATGGAGGATGCACAGGACTAAGGTACCCACCTCGTGACAGCTTGCCTAGGCTTTCTCCAGTTTCCGCTCAGAAGGCTCCTGGGTGAATAACCAGGTTGCTGCCGTTCTCTCTCTCTCTCTCTCTCTCTCTCTCTCTCTCTCTCTCTCTCTGCCCCCCACCGTGTGTGTGTATGTGAGTGTGTGTGTGTGTGTGTGTGTGTGTGTGTGTGTGTGTGTGTGTGCATGTATGTGGTCGACATCAGGGCTCTTCCTCAATTGCTCTCCGCCTTATTTTATTCACGTGTGCATGTGTCTGTGTGGAGGCATGTTCGTGTCACAGTGCGCTAGCAGAAAAAGTTGGGAGTCAGTTCTCTCCTTCTTCCCAAGCTCAGGCTGTCTGACCTGTGCAGCAAGCACCTTTACTTGCCGGGCCATCTCCCCAGCCCTCCCTTACATTCTGAGGCAGAGTCTCACACCGGACCTGGAACACATTGATTCAGCTAGACTGGGTGGTCAGCAAGCCCTGGGGCCCCTCCCATCCCCACGGTGCTGTGACTGCCAGCAGGCATCACTGTGTCCAGGGATCTGAACTTGGGGCTTCATGTTTGTGTGACTGGCACTTTACTGCCCGGGTTAGCTCTCTAGCCCTGACTACCAGGTTTTAAATGTGAAGGTCATGGCTTCCATCCCAAGGCATTCTGGGCTATTGTGCACCTTTCTCTATCCCGCTGCCTTCCCACCTCTGCCTTCCCCACAAACCCAGAGTGGCCAGATGACCAGTCCATAGTCAGGGTGGCTGCCTATCAGCCTCAGCCGTGAGGCCTTAGTCGAAGCCCATGGTCCCTGTGTTGTATGGAGATGATTCTGCCCCCTGGGACTGTGGACAGGTATCTAGAGGTCACTGTAAGATATCCCAGGTCACCAGGGACCCTGACAGGTTCAGCAGGTGGCTGGGGTGGCAGAGGGCATCTTGAGAGGGGAGGGGGTTTCTAAAACTTTTCCTGGGGAGATGTAGACAGATGTCCGTTCACTCCAGGCAGGGTACAGACCAAAGAAACAATCCTAATTAAGTCCAGTTTAATGAAGCAGTGAGAGTTTATTGGTGTTACTTACGGGAGCATATCTCCTGCATCACCAAAGAGCCCACTCCCATGTGTGTGGCTCTTCACCAGAGTCATATCCCTGGAGCTGCCCATGTGACTTGAAGGCGGTTCTTCCTAAGAGTCTCCTCACCGTAGCAATTGCTCCTGCTGAAATTACCTTGGGGTGGGGTCTTGGAATCCTGTAAGTTTTGGGAACCTTCTGAGACTTGTGAGTTTCCTTGACTTCTGGGCCTTAAGGAAATATAGCCACACAAGAGGCTGGGCTGTGGGAAAGATGTCCCATGGGGTCACTGTGAAAGGTGGGGCTCTCTGGTTGCGTCTTTACACCACATGGCCATAGCCTCGGTATGTTCATCTGCAAATAATCAGATCCTATTTCTCAGAGTGGTAGTGAGTGGATACAGAGACTGGACACAGAGTCCTGCCTGTGGTCACCTCTCCAGAGGTCACTCCTACTGCCCATGTCATGGCAACGTTGCTGTCCTATGCCTGTGTGACGAGGCCAACTCCTTTCTGAACTTTCTTGCATGCGGTGAGTGATCTGGAGGACACTGAACCTCAATGAGCAGAAACACCACCACAGCCCCCCAGTTCTTGTCAAGCCTGACTGTCCTGAGGTGGGGAAGGGTCTCCCCACACTCCCCTAAACCAGAGCTAGACACTGGCTGCACTTGAGCCTACAGGTCCCTCTGGGCCATTTGACATTCACTGAAATTCCTCAGAGGACGGGGACATAAGCAGTGAAGCAACAGGACCACCCACTCATGCCCAGGTGGGAGCTGCTGTCTGCTCCCAGGCTGGAGGAGCTCCTGGCCAGGCTTTCCGGCCCCACCGCACCCCACAGTTCCTTCTCCACTAAGAGCTAAAGAGGCCTTTCAGTCGCACAAGCCAGGCCTCTGCTTGAAACCTCTCCGTGTCTTCCCATGACAATGAGGAAGGACATAATCCACCTTCCTTGCCGCATTGAGGACCTCATGTGACCTGACTCCAGACACCACCACACTACTTAGGTCACCAAGCTCCGTACAGGCTCAGTACAGACAACTGTGTCCCATTGCCAGGCCTTGACAGCTGCTCTGATCGTCATTTTTCCTCCTGGTCACCGCCCCCCCCCCCACCCCCGACCCTCTTACCATCCAGGTTTTGCTGAAGACCCATGCTCCCTAAACATGGTCCTCAGCCCGTCTCCTAGCTTCTCGTACCTTGACTATTTCAGGGGTTTGCTTTCTAGCACAGAGCCCACTAGGTGTTCCCTTTGCCTGTAGGTCTGGTGGCCGTAGGCATGCCTCGCTCTGTCTCACCAGTCCCTGAGACCAGGGGTCACATAAGGCAGTGAGTGCGGACCACACATTTTTGTCCTCTCCTTATCTTGGGAAGAGGGGCTATTACATCCCATTTTACAGATGGGGAGCCTGAAGCTCCCAACTGTAGGTGCCTGTCCTGCATCTCTCAGGGGGTCAGTCCACCAAGAATGTGGACCCAAGACTGCATGACTCCTGATCTTACACGCTTCCTGTCCTGTCTCTTAAGTCATTCTGTCTGTGCAGTCCTGGCTCTCTGGGCACAAGAACACACCAGCTCTATGATGGAAAGCAAATGGGATTTCTGTTCTTGGTTGTAATAACACCAAGGGTTTGTCCAAAGCCAGGTAAAGATTTTTTTTTAATATGCTGAGTGATCTTTACTGGACAGCCTCCTTATAATAAAAACTCACCTCAACTCTTCAGTTCTCTCTCTCCTCTCACTAGAAGAACATGCCCCCTGCTGAACAGAGGGACAGTGGGAATTCTATGTGCCCCCACAAGACGCAAGCTGGGAGTCATCTCCACTGTGGTCCATCAGACAAGGGTCACCCCTTGGGCTCTGGCAGGGAGTCAGGGATTCTGAATGAGATCCAGCTCCATAATTAATGTGCTGCTGTGTGTCGTGAGGCAAGTTTCTCAATGTGTCCAGTAAATGTCCACAAGGTCCACCTCACAGATGATTCTGTCTGGGCTGGGAAGATGCCTCAGTTGGTAAAGTCTGAGGACCTGCGTTGGAATTGCTAGAACCCAATCAAAGATCTGTGTGCCGTGGTGTATCCCTGTGACCCCAGTGATGGCAAGATGGGAGACAGAGGCCGGCAGATCCCTAGAAGCTCTCAGCTCAGCCAGCTTAGCCTGCTTGGTAAAGCTCCAGGCCAGTAGAGAGCCTGTCTCAGTAAACAAGACAGACAGGCTGGCCTGAGGAATGACTCCTACGAGTGACCCCTGGTCACATGCACCCACACATGTACAGGCACACACACACACATACACACACACACACACATACACACACACACACACACACACACACACACACACACACACTTGAAAGGGGCCCTTAAGGGTTTTGCAATTTATTGTATGCAAATATCACCTCTAAAGGAAAAAAAAGACTCATTAATGGACTGTGAACTCTAAATTGTGGTGTCTACGCAGGAGACTTAGGAGCCAGGCAGACTGATGTATGTGACTTACCGGGCAATGGACGCAGCAAGTGAGGCAGGTGGATACCTGGAGAGACGAAGACTAGACTAATCCACAGGGTTCTGTCTCAGTACCGAGCCCAGGCGCCCGTACACTGAGGCTGGTTTTTTTTTTTTTTAAAGATTTATTTATTATGTATACAGTGTTCTGCCTGCATGTATGCTCTTACACCAGAAGAGGGCACCAGATCTCATTACAGATGGTTGTGAGCCACCATGTGGTTGCTGGGAATTGAACTCTGGACCTTTGGAAGAGCAGTCAGTGCTCTTAACCTCTGAGCCGTCTCTCCAGCCCGAGGCTGGTTTTTACATCCCTCCCACTCCACTGGATGTCTGGGTTTGCTGAGACGCCGCCCTCCCACTCCACAGGATGTCTGGGTTTGCTGAGACGCCGCCCTCCCACTCCACTGGATGTTTGGGTTTGCTGAGAGCCCCTGAGAGCAGCAACCAAAGCAGGAAGTGGCGGGGCCTCACCTGGGGCTCAGCACCTCAGAACCCCATCTGCGCAGTGTGAAGTGCACACCTGATCCAGGACTGTCCCTAGGACTGACTCCAGAGGACCCCAGCCTCCTCTCACGAGCTTGTGGCCCCTTCCCCAGCCACCTACTTACCCATCATCCCTGCTAAACGAGGACACAGGCCCCTCTCTACCGAACATGCATCTTCCATCTTCTTTAATTGTCCATCTCCTCCCATTACAACACATACTGAGGAAGAAGAGAGGCCTCACAGCCATGTCCCTTGCTCCTAAAACAGTCTCTGGCACGGAGTAGAAACCAAGGGCATCCTTACTGAATGAGAAATAAGTGATGATAACCTGCGAGTTCCAACGTGGCCCCTAACTGTAGGTATCGGCCACCCGAAGTCTACCGACTGCTCAAACATCCTCACGACAGGCAGGACAAAGAGGCCAACCATCCCAGCTCCATTGGACAAATGAGGAAACTGAGGACAAGAGGTGGAATGTAAATGTCCCAGTATGCCCTGCCAGTGGCTGAACGGAGATGGAGCCCGGATCCTCAGCAATCGCTTCAGGACTCTCCCCTCCCTAGCAGGCTGCTGAGCTTGTGTTAAAGGGCCCGTCCCCGGAAGCAGCCAGCAGATGGACAGGCGGACGGGCTCCGCTTGGTTGAGCTGCCCACGATGCCGTGTTAATTATACAGGGTGGGAGATGCCAGCCAACACTGTCTGCAGTGTCTCTGCCCTAACATAGCAGGTGCACAGGCTGGCGTGGGCCGCTGATGGCTACGGCCGTGGATCTGCTGGCAGCCAGACCTGCTGACACGGCCCAACTCTTCGCAGCACCGCTGAGCACGGGGGCCCAGCCACATTGTCACAACAAGGGCCCTCCGCAGGGACTGGCACCCTTCCCGATGGTACCAGCGGGCCTGACTGGCTCAGGCCAGGCAGCTGTCAGACGACAGTGTCCACACAGGTGTGCTCTCAGACAGGATGGCACAAGGCTTTGGGGACTGAGTACGAGGAAGCTGTAGAGGTGTCACAGCGGGGCTCTGTGACAGAGCCTTGCACACAGATAAGCAGATCCTGGGACTAGCTAGGAGGACCCAATCGGGCTGCTGTACCCAGCCTGCTCCTGAGATCTGAAGATCTAATTAGCGGCCCCAAAGAGGACCCAGAAAACGATCTCTTCTCTATTCTCACAACTTCTCCCCAGGTCTGGGCACTAGTTTGAGGTTCACTGTGTGTATAGCAGTTTGGAAACTATTTGATGTCCCTGGACTCTGCAATGCCCTTCTTAATGCTTTTGGTGGCTCCCAATCTCTACTCAGTGCAACAAAGGATACCAACTGTGCCACATCCCATAGCTGACAGTGGGATTCTCACTCTACCTGAGGCCTGACTGCCCAACACACAGAATCCAGAGCATCCTCCAGTGCCCTCGGGGTGTGCTTCTCCTACCCCTGACCTACAACTGAGGAAAGCAAGGCAGGGAAATGTGGGATCTAGAGGTGCACGCTCACCTCAGAGAGCAAACGCTACCCCACTCAGCTCTGCAGTGTGGATTAGGGCCTCCCGTCTCCCCAGGGCTGCTGCAGCTCAGGCTCTTACACCACATCCTGGGAGTCACGCTGCTTCCCAGCTGACTCCGTGAGACTTCAAGTGAGGTCCTGGTGATTGTGCTGCGCTCTGAAATCCAAGTGCCTGGCCTCGGTCCTATGGCACCTTTCATGACACTTGCTTCCTGTTTGCAATGGGGACGAGGGTGCCCAGAAGGTAATGTGGGACCCTCATGTAGCTGGAAGAGTTTGAGGGTTCAGGGGACCTTGCCTCGGTGTGGTAGGGACAGCCAGCCTGATGCTCTTCCACTCTTGTGGAAACAGCCTGGCCTCCTAAGAAATTTACACCCTCTGCCTCAGTTGCTATCTGTTTCTCTTCCTTGAGTCATAGATCAAAGAGGGGGACATAACAGCTGGGCTTGTCACTGTGAGGTGGGGGGCAGAGTACACACTGACCAGGTATCACAAACTGACATGCATGTATCCCACTCCCCATAAAAAGAATAAACATTTACACACACGCACGCACGCACGCACGCACGTCATTGGCAGCTCAGTACACCTGAGCCCCATAGACACATCCCCGCCTTGCCCCAGAATGTAGGCTTTCACACTTGTGCACCGTTAGGGCAGCCGTCATACCTGTCCCCTCACCTGCCCACACGGCAAGCCCAGGACCCACAAGGAGGCTGGCAGTCACTCTGCTCTCCTCCTCTCCTGTTCTCATCACCCCCCGCCCCCGTCCTGTCCCTGAGCGCCTGTCTGCCATCGCACCATAACCAGATGAGACAAGGCAATTTATGATACCAGCTGTCTTTGTCAACACCGGATCTCCCACACACGCCAGGGAAGCCAATCACCCCAGCCCAGCCTTGCCAGGAGCGGGAGCTCACAGAGTTGGCACAGGAGAGTGGAGTCGGTAACCCAGAGAGGTGGGTGGCCTTTGTTTTTCCTTCTCCTCCTTGGTTATCACCCATCCTCTCTCATGCCTGCATCTGTGGCTACAGCTCCCCACCAGAGTAGGGAACAGGTAGGCAGGAGCTTTAGAGAAAGAGTGGTCCAGGGTCGCCATGGCAATGAGACCACTAGAAACTCTATGTCCTCCCAGACCCAGAGGACCACAAAGTGGCTCCATCAATGTCTCCTGGCTTCCCTCCACGTTCATGTTTCTTATCCCCTTCCAGAGCATCTTTATCCAGGGTCTTTGCCTCTAAAATACCTGTCCACTTCCTGGCCCTGGCCCTGGCCTTGGCCCAATTCTCCACCCCAACCCTGAGGCCTTTCTATAAAATCCTCAGAGTCAGACGCATGTTCAAATGTCCACTTCACCTCAGCCAGGCAGCCTGGGCAGGTGACATTCCTTCTCTGGCTACAATTTTATTTCTAGAGTTTGAGTGAGTATTTGCCACACGCTAGACTCTATTACAGAATCTGAATTCACAGCCCCCTCCTACACCCCATCCACTCCACCCCCAGCACACACAGAAGACCATCCCAGCTCCATGCTGCCGCCCTGCTGGAGGAATCAGGAAATGCAGAGCCACATAGATGAGAAGCCAGTCTCCCTCACGGTCCACATCTGCTTGTATACCATTGCCTCAGCTCCAATCCAGCCTTGCAAGACAGATGTTAATCTCAGGCACATGAGGGATTCAGGCTGCAGCCCAGGGCCCAATTCCACCTGGGTGATCCTTTGATGAAGCTTTGTTGACCTAATTGATGTCATCTTGGGTCCCTGCTCAGCTCTCTTGGTATAAGTACCAAAAATGATAGCTGAGGACAGGGGCCCTGAAGAGCCCATATTTCCTCTGCTGAACTGTACACTTGTTTAATAAGTGTAAATTGAGGACTTACTCTGTGCTGGTCTCCATGCCAGACATGCAGGATTGAGTAGCATGAAGATGGGACCTCTGAATGACAGTCACATGGTAGAAGTTTCTAGAATCGCTTTTCATTGTCTTCTACAATGATCAGAATTGAAATTCCAGGTCAGTAGCTGTACCCACTTTCCTTCCTGTTTTACAAGTGTGCGCCTGTTTCTTATAACATTTAAGACAGGGTTTCATATAGCCCCAGGCTTACCTCCAACTCGTGTTGAGGATGACCTTGAACTTCTGATCCTCCTGCCTCTGCCACCTGAGTGCTGGGATTATAGCTGCCCAGCCTGGGGTTTTACACATGATCCGCAGGCATTCTGCCCACTGAGGTTCTGAGCTGCTCCATGGTATAGTTTGGTTCTGTGTTCTGTCACTTGCATTATCTGATAGATGTTCCTTTTGCCCTCGGCAGTGCTGGAAGGCCAGCCTCTCACTCTTTCTCGTTCACTGCCAGGGAATGTGAGTGGCCTTGCTGGGGACTTGAACCTGTGCCTGGCTGATGCAAGCTCCCAGGGGCCACCCACTCCTCTACATCTAATCAGTTCATTAAAGTCTGCCTTGCAAACACTCCCTTGCGCTGCCCAGGACATGGAGACCTCAGCTGCTCCATTTCCAGGAGAGCGAATTCCTTCCCCGCTGGAGAGGAGTGGAGTAATGTAGGCAGGCAATTTAAACAGCTCCACAAACCCGCAGTTTCCACTCTCCGCCACTATTACACTTCCTGGCCGCAGCGGGATTGGCCCGTAAGTGGGATATCAAGTTTATTACAGCTATTTCCAACCTGTAATTGGTTTTGTGGAACACAAAGAGAAAGGCTGGGGAGGAGAGAGGTGATCCCCCATTTTTTTTTCTTCTTCGTTTTTTTTTCCCTTTTACAGATGGTGACATTGAGGGGCATTGGTGAGAAGGCTGAAGCTGAAGACTTATTTGTTTTTTCAAATTAAAATGTGACTGGCTGGCCAGTGGGCCCTCCTGCGGCTGGCTGGGCTGCATCCATTGGTCACGCTTCTATGAACCAACTTGTAAATCCATTAGGCCACAGCCAGGGTTGCTTCCGGGGGCCGGGGGGGGGGGGGGGGGGGGGGGGGGGGAGGGAGTCTGGCACTGAGGGTGGGGAACAGGGGTGTGACAAGCTGTGGTCAGCTAGGGCTGTCTGTCTAGAGCCACAACACTGGGACCACAGCATGGGGCCACACAAGCAGACAGAGT